AAGGGCTGGTATCACATGTACTCTGGATCCTCTAAAACACAGGGATGAACCTTTAGTTTCCCCAGTCTGGTTCTGGTTCTGAAGTTCAGAGTCGGGCTGGAAGATACATTCAAAATCATTATTCTACTATTATTATTATTGTTATTATTATTATTATTATGAGTGGTGGGGAAGTATTCAGATCATTTACTTAAGGAGAAGTTTGTATTTTACTATGTAAACAGAATCAGTAAAAGCTGCTGTAAGTATACAGACTGTTAATATTAAACATTATTACTGATGCATTAATGTAACAGCAGGATTTGCTGTAGTTGGTTGAGGTGGAGCTATTTAACATTTATTTGTACAGGACTGCAAACAATCATTATTTTAAGTATTGATTAATCTGCCTATTATTTTCTCAATTAATGACTTGATTTCTAAAAATTCTGAACATGGTGAGAAATACCATCACAATTACACAGAGTGACACAATTATTAAAACAAATACAAATTATCTTCCAATCAATTAATTGGTAAACCAACTAATTGTTTCAGCTGGACTTTTTCATGTTTTGTGTGCAGAAATCTTAATTTGTAATATAAAGCTATCAAATCTTTGTAGTGAAGTAAAAAGTAAGTCTCTGAAATAAATGTTTTATATATATTTTTCTTTTCTTTTTTCTAAGTATTTTAATTTATTGTTGTATTTTATTCTATTGTATTTAATTATATTTAAATGTACCTGGCTGCTATGATGACCCAATTTCCCTTCAGGGATTAATAAAGTCTAAAGTCTATCTATCTATAGTAAAGAAATACAAATACATCAAATATCTCCTAAGTGCAGTACTTGAGTAAATGTATTTAGTTACATTCCACCACTAACCCACATTAAATATTTAAAGTAACTTAAACATTAGTACTGATAATTATTATATATATATATATTAGTTTATATTAGTTATTAAGCATTTAATGAGAATGTTAAATATGTTAAATAAAAATATAAAATAGTTTACTTCATTACAGCTCGCTCAAAAGCAGCTTATAGGATGAATTAATTAATCATCCAATCATCCTTTTCTTCAACTCAGTTTCAATGTAACCAGAATAAACTGTCATGGTGCTTTTATTGATCATAGACATCTTTTATTTCCTTGAATTGACACTTTGTTTTCCTGTTAAAAGCATCCAGTGGATGGTTCAAATGTCTGAACCATAACACACAAACACACACACACACACACACACACAATACTGTACTGTATTATACAAAAATACTCTTGCTTTAAATGAAGCTGTGCAGCATCGTGTTGACATAAGTATAATTTAATGGCCTTGCACACCCACACAGGGGATTTCAATCTGGATGTAGGTGGGCGGAGCCAATGCTAGACATCACATGCCATGCCACCAGACTCACTTGGAGAGAGATCAAAACACACCGTCAAACACAGACTGTACATGCCCACACAGTGCAGAGAAGAGCAGCCAAACCACAGACATTTATGTAAAACGATTAGTGGAAATACGATGCTAATGTGTCCCAATGAACTACTACAAATAAATATATACATTAATAAGTCAGAGAGGGCATCGCTTCAGAGAATACAGCCACAGGAGTTAATCAAAACTCGGCTGGTCGATGTCTGGGGGGACCGTGCAGCGAGTCAGGTTGGACAGGTACAGAGCAGTAGCCATGGGAACAAGGCCGGCCGCCACCTTCAGGATGGTCAGCAGCCTCTCTGTAGCATTGGCCACACCATCTGGTGTCTGGAGGGGAAGAACATGACACAAGACTGCTTTTAAAGAAACTGAAAAACACACTTTACAGACACTGGGTGGTCTATTATCAATAAAAGCACAGGGACCCCAAACTGCACACACACAATCTCACTACGTAATCCACAGGCAGTTAGCTTCTACCGAGTTAAATCGAAGACTTTTTAAAACCAGAGAAAATACAATTTAATACCTAAAATTATCTGAAGCAAAAACGGAAGAAAAAAAGCCAAAAGTGGCTCCAATGTGAGGATTTAATGTTTTTATTCCCTTTTCCTTCTCAAAACATTTGAACGAGGGCTGTGGGAAATTGTATCAGACATTTTTCACTATTTTATAATAGTGTCTAATATCTAATATTACTGCTGATAGTGAGCAAGAGAAAATACTTTTTAATAGCTTAATAATAAAATAAAGTGTTTATTTTCTGAGGAAAGTAACAGATTCAGTGATTTTTAAGACTAGTCTGTTCCCACTGTGGCATCAGTAGCAAAAATCTACAGCTCGCCCAGATGCTACATTACCGTGCTCCACATAACTTTGTCTCTGAAATAATCTCTTTGGGGTTCAATCTTCCTCAAACTTTGTCCCAAAAATTGATACAAACCTGATCCTCAGCAAACAGCAAGGGGCAGTGGAGCGATGCAGCCAGCTTTCTGACAGCGTCCAGGCGCTCTGTGGGGACCGAAGCGTTACGAGCTACAAGAGACAAATGCACGAGAGGGCAGCCAGTCAGAGAGACACACAGAGCTATAAGTTGGTCATTCAACAACAATAAAGGGAGGGATGACGTATATTAAGAGTGAAAAATGGTCCAACTTAGACCATTTCTGCTCCATTTCATCCCCTTTGCTCCTCCTTTATGTGACTCAAGGAGCTGAGGAGAGAAAACAAGTCTCAAAGAATTTAACTCATACCATTGGTGACCATGAAACAGACTTTTCCAAGGAAATATCCAGGGTCCAAATATTTCAGGGAAGCTTCTGCTGACTGGAAACTATGAGGAAACAGAATGATACAGGTCAAATAATGAACTAGTATAACATAAAACATACAATATACAGACCAAAACACATCTGTAGTTCTACATAATGCTGGAATCAGGCCTCTTATTTCTATAGAGTTTAATATTAGTATAATAGTAAGTACTAGTACACCGAGCCTGTGGGTTGGTTTTTAAAGTGTTTTTTAAATTGTATTCTTTCTTGTTATCAAATGATTAACGCTTTGGCAGTAACTGTTTCTAACATTCATGCCACTGAAAGCATATTAAATTGAAAAAGGAAAAAGAAAACACACTTTTATTACCGACTTGAGTAATTAAGATGCACTGGATCGTTCTAATTAACAAACCAGTAGATATCAGGCTACTGAGTTCAAATTTCTCTAATAATTCAATAACAGATGGGCCAACTTTTACCCCTATATATTTAAGAGAAAGAAAATACCATCAAGTAGATTCATTGACTTTCATTCAGACCAACTCAAACTACAACAGTGAGCAGATATTTTACCTGTGTGTGTGTGTGTGTGTGTGTGTGATTAGGAAAGGATTAAAATATGAATATGTGTTTGAAAGTTACCTGAGTTCTGAGGTCAGGTTGATGATAAACACCACCAGGTCTATTCTGGGACGACTCTCCTCGTTCTTCATGGGCAGAGGCAGACTCTTAGCTAGTCTCCTGATTAATACAATAAACAGTGTTCATAAAGTCATATGGGATGGATGGTACAGAAGGAAAAGACTCAAGACGATCATATAAGGCTTATAAATACAGTGCACTGACAATAAAATACTATATATGTATTATTAAACACCAATCGGATATTGGAGCCTTCAGAA